CCATTGAAGATATTAAAGAAGTTGTGTGGTTTAGGAGTCTACTTAATGATTTTTAAGTGATAATTTGATTGGAAACTCTAATAGTCAATCTTCCATCCATTTGCGTAAAAATCTTGTATTTCATGTGCACACTAAACATATAGATGTTATGCTGTATTTTATTAGAGATGTAGTACCTCAAAACTTGTAAAACTTGAGAAAGTGCATTCAAATTATAACTCTACAGATATGAGCATTGAGGTACTTTCCCTGTAAAATTTTAGAAGCTATCTTACACTTCTAAACATTGGTAAAAGTATGTGACATTTTAATTTTATTTGAAATCATATTGTGTGAATACTAAACTATTTTTCCCCCTTTTTGCACATGTACTTGGCATCAAGGTGGAAGTTTGTTGGATATTTTAATACCAAATAGACCCGGGGCTTTGGTGATTAGTCGGGTCAAAATAATATTCATAGACTTTGCTAAAAGCCATTATTGTATCTTTAGTTAGTTGTTAATCGAAACCACAATTGGCAGCCCAAATAAATATAGATAAGCTAAGAGTCTTATGTGTGAATAATTTATATGTGTAGGCCAAACGCATTTGGTTATGACCCAATTGCTTAAACAATTTTGCGGCACCTATATATATCTTTCCCTTTGTTTCTAGTTTGTGTTATTACACAACACCCAGTTTTTCCTTACCCCTTTTTCGAGAGAAAAAATGACTACCTTCTTTTTACTTGTAGTCTTGGACCTCTTTGGTTGTCCTCTCCAGTTCTCTATGATTGGCACCTTCTTCTCCCTATCTAAGTCCATTTCTGGCCTCTACTATACACCTCCGACTGCCTCTGCTTGTATCACTTTTGTCCCCTATTCCTTGCTTCTTTCAACAACTTTATGCTCGCTTATTGTGCGACCTCCTGGGGTGATTTCTTTTTGTTTGTGGCGCGAGATTTGGTAGTTTGATTGTCTGTAAGTACGATATCGCAAACAGTAATAAAGTGATAAGTAAAACATCATTCCTACGAGAAGTATATACTTAATCTATAGTCAATTAATTTCAACTCTAATTGAATAGTCAAAGATGCTTAAATGATATACTAATTATTTTAATTAAAGTAACTAATTCTAATAAGCAAATAAATATTGTAAACTTAGATTGGATATTACTAAGATTTCAAATCCCCCTTATTAATCCATCTTTAATATAAATCAACATTATGACAATATGTATGCATTATTGTTTATCAATTTCATAAGTTAATTAAAAATATCTTTCACTGTCAATTAAATCTATCCCCTCATTTGATCTTCTCATATTCCTATGAAAGATGCGAACATAAAAGCATGCGTTAAAAATGCTAGAGTATGACAGTATCTCTATTCCCTATCGAACGTTACACTAGTTGTTATAAGTTCTATCTATTTTGTCGTTTCTCTCGAAATCAATAAAATTCACAAGTCAATCCAATTGGTGAATAAGCAATTGAAAGCGTTAAACATAATAACAATCATCCAAAAACTTATGCATTTTGAACATCAAAATATTTAATTTATATTAAAAACTTCATAATAAGGGTTCATCTATATCTTAGTAATTGAAAATTTAGCCTAACGTTGCAAAATTATAGGAAAAGATGTTTAATTGGAAAAATATCACTCGAATTTTTGATAAATTGAGAAATGAAGAAAAATCTTGAAGTCTTGAATTTCTTCAATTGTTTCATGATGAATCTCCATTTGCGCCGTTTTTTCTTTGCCCAAAAATCAAGATTTAATCTTCAATTGTATGAATTCTTGCAATTGCTCTTCAATCCTCTTATGAAATTATGAAATTCGCCTCCTTTTGATTGTAAGAATTGATGTGAATTGGAGGATAAGATGTATATGAGAGGTGTATTATATTAGTTCCCCATGTTATGTATTTATAGAGGC